GCCAGTCATATATGCTGAAGCCAGTTCACCTGAATTTGAGACCCCAAATGTCCTCAGGTGTGAGTTTATGCGCTAGAGTCTGATTACCCGAAATATCCTCATATTCCAGTGTTCGATACCCACTTGTGTGTCCTGTCGGGTAGATCTGTTTTTTATCACCTCCTGCTGCAGTCCCAGCTAGGACCAATGTTTTGCGAGCAGACACTTGGCCTCTACATTTGGCCCTCACACTATTGACACTGCGGTCAACAGGGACCTGCATTTCCCAAACAGCCTCCTCCTGCTGACAGAAGGCCAAGCACGGGCACCGGGCTGCGGGCACTGGGCTTGGGTTTAGGATTTCTGTCAAATTCTGCAGACCAGGGCGAGAATTAAGGGAGCAAAAGTCAAGATGACACAAACTTTTCTGGGGGCCTTTTGGCCAATAGCACTTTTTGATAGATTCTGCGGGAGGGGGGGTGGACGCATTCTGCAGTGTTTCCCAAGACACTCTCCTGTGTATCTTTCTGGAAGCATTCTCCCCATTCATCCTGAGCACTTAAGACAGGTCTCAGAAACTTTGTTTCCTGTCATCACTAAAGTCACATCTGGCCTATGTTCAATGTATATTTTCTTGTCTGTTCAAAGGACACATATCAATTTTGTTGTACAAAGAACTTCCTAGACTTTAAACAAGTAGATTTCTTTCTCAGTATTTAAATAGGAAATTTGCTTTCATTGCACCCTCTGTTGGATAAATTAAATGCAGAATCCATTGCATAAGAAATTGATTTATTTAGTTATTTAAAGATGTATCTCAAAGTATTGACTAGTAAGTCGATCCGTGTGGCAGAGGCTCCGGCCGTCCAGCTGAGATCTGAAGAAAACGTGAGAGAAATGCGGGAACCATCTCCGTTCCGAAGAGTTGGACTTGATGTCGAGGACGGCTCAGACGCTCTACCTGATCTGTAACAACAGGAAGGATAATGGAAAACGTAGGTGAGCTGATGCTATGGACATAAAGTCTCTGAAATTGTTAAAAAATAAAAATAAAATTGACTGATGAATATGGGTCTCCTGTGACCAGCCGTGTAAATCAACAGCCTTCAGCACGACCCCACCACTAAGAACTGTAACATCAAACAGTGCGACGAAGCAAATGTGCGTGAAATTAGGTTGCATTTGTCCGCTTATCTGATCACATGAGTATGGACTAAATGAAAAAGAGAGTGATTAAAATTGTGAGCAGACAATGTGTTTCTACTCACCCAGTGGACGTCTTTAATCCTCACACGTATCTGTGAACGAGAGTTACGAGAGAAAAGCAAACACAAGTAAATCAGGGGCCTCATTTCCTATATCTAAAGATTATCTTTTAAAAGCTTAACTTTAAAGTAGAAATAAAAGGGCTCGGATTACGTTCCCGGGAGATGGGTTTCTATGTGTACAGGGGGCAGTGACATTACCAGTGGGGACGGCGTCCTGAATGTTCTCCTTCGCGATGCCGTGCTTCTCGGCGATCTGATAAAACTCCTGCACCTGCTCCTCAGTCACCTGTGTCTCCTTCCCTGTGTCACAGGAATGGATGCCCGTCAGGACGCTGAAAACTTACCACGGGTCCCGTTACAACACAGCATGATGAAACCGCCCGGTGGAAACTTCCCGCCCAAGTCCCTCTTTCTCCCACAAAGTTAAGCTGATGGACTAGATCTTCCCAAATAGAGGTAACGGGTTTAATCAAGTCACAATGTGTGGCTAGGGGCCACCGTCCATCCTAAAGACAAGTAGACAAAATATGGATTCTTTGAACTTTAACCACATGATGGTATTTGCATGTACATGTTCTCAGAAAGACACGTTGTGGTTGGGGATGTTGGGAGCGGTCAGCGAGGAATCTGTCCACATTGCAGGGACCTGTTTTCTGTCTGCTAAATTCCAGAATGCCTTTCCCGGTGTCCTTGATCCTACTGACATGAGCACAGGATATAGATCAGCCCAGCTCAGACACTGTGAGCACCGCCGTTTGGTGACAGGAAAATAAAATTTTAAGAAAGCCCTCCCTCCACATGCCCAAACAAAGGCTGGATATGAATCTACTTGAAATGTTGCTGCAATTCCAACAATTGCAATTCCATCTCAGCAATTCAGCCCTGGACCAAGTCCTAGGTCAAGAGCGTTTATG